AATCCTACCTCTCTCCCAAGCTTGATAGAAAAGCCAGACTGCTTCTTGCAACTTCTCCTCCTTGACCCAGCATCCTCAAGCTAGCTCTCATTCCTCAAACCTTGACTTGAGCCCAGCTCTAACTAGAAGTAACTCTGCACAGCTGTTTGTAGAGCTGGAAAAAAACAAACTCTTCAAAGCTCTTTTCCCCACCAGATTCACAGGCTCTGATCATCCTCCATAGGGAGTCCACAAGCTGATTGGCTACACAGAACCATGGTCAATGTTTTCCAGTACAGCTGAAACTAATTCTCCCCTCCCAGGGAGGAGGACAGACTTGTTACAACATACTCAGCCCTGCTGAGCCATTGCAACATTGCTAACAGAGAAAGGACAATCAAGGTCAGTCTTCAGCTTCTGCCCTTTATTTTGTTCCTTTCGGCAAGACCAGCACCTACTTGCAATGCCTCCCTGCCCCCCACCCTCGACCCCGCTCCAAATCATTACGAGGACACAGATTGCAGCAAGCATAGAGTAGAGCTCATGCACAAGCAACTGGACTGTGGTTGCCCCGTGCTGCAGCTTGTTTCACCACAGACACTTGTAAAGAATGAGGGAGCTGCTTTGCCACCCCACAATATTTCCTCAGCCCTCATTCTGCTGCTAGAACCTCAGTCCATCTGGCTAGTGCCAAGAGCCCACCCTGTGGTCACGTGAACTGAATGTTATTTTCCCTTCCAGACTCATGAGCTATTAACAAACTAAGTAACAACATGCAAAATGCAATGAGGATTGGAGCCTACTGTGGTAATGGAGCCATTTGTGATGTCTGAGGCTGATTATTGCAATTTGGGGCCCTAAAATATGAAAGTACAAATCTTAAGAAAAAAAAAAGCAATCAGTTTAGAATAGCAGCTCCTTTGCTTAGCAGCACAGGCCACCAGCAGCACTCCAGTGCTAGGACCTGCCTGTTGCACTGCACTTCCTTCTGACCATTATGTTGAGGACAAGATACAGATTTCCTTCCCAGTGAGTGTGTCACTGCCCTCCTTTAGAATTGTTTCCCTCCTGGAAACAACATACATGACCATAAACTTTCACATCCTCAGACCAAAATGCCACCCCTACAACAATACAGGCTGCTCTCAATAAATACCATGAACACAAAACACAGGCCCTTATCACTTCAGCAGAGACAAGAATGTTTTTTGTATTCAGGGCCACTTTGATAATCCATTCAGTGGTGGATGAAGAAACCAAAACAAAGACACTCTCCCATAATCAGTCAAGCAAGAGAGATCCCAGTCGGTCATCTGCAGGGCCACCCTTTGCCATTAGCCATTTAGACTGCAACATAAATGATTACATTTTCGGCTACCTCTCTGAAGTTAGCAGTCACAGAAAAAATTTCAGCGCTAGGGTGCCTGCAGTAACCTGAATCCTATTGTCCTCTCATTCACTCTTGAGACGATGACAAATAATTTCAGTAGAATCAATGGAATAACAGCAGGACAAGGCTGAGAAAGACACACAGCCTACTTGCCACAAACAGACCCTACGTCAATGCTCCCTGCTGATTGGGGCTCACATTCTCCTCTGCAACATATCTCACGGGCTCATTTACACCAGCATAAAGTGTAAGCAAAAACACCAGCAGATCAAAATGACAGCTTAGTATGTATCAGCTGCAAAGGCAGTGGAAATTCAGGACAACTATACCTGTAATAAAAGTAGGACAGCGATAAGATAAATATCACTGCTTTAAATTTCATAGCATAAATGTGCTGTGCCATCAGCTGAAAATATTACAAGAGCCATCAACTTGAATCTCTGCCAAATGGACTATTTTTTAGTGGAAAATGTTTAGCCAGTTAGTTAAAGATTTTTAACTTAGGAAATATTTGGAGTTACTCTTCTGTCTGATTTAAGGCAATGACGTTCCTTAATGTTACATTGATTTAGTTGACTATTCCAAAACAAGCCACAACGAATTAAAGCAATAAGAAGACGTGATGAGATGCTGGCTGAAGAAAGTCAGCCCTGTGATCCAAGTAAGATCTGGTCCACGATAAATAGTTTGGGTTTGAGGGGGAGAGGAGTGGCTAATTATGAGGGGGAATTTGATTTATCCTCCCAAAGGCAAAGTCATAACTCATCAGAGCAACCTCCATCATGAATTTCATAGATCCAGTCATTTCATATAGGTCTCCAAATAGCTGCTGACTTAGAGCAGGTCCATGTGAGAACTGGATTCAAATTCGGCAAGAGGTTCATCCGTGATCAGACTCCTGGCCCATGCCGTTACTCTGTGTTCAAACTCACAACTTAAATCAGAATTCATTAACCTGGCTGAGCAGCAAAGTTCTCCATCTTTCTCCTTTTTGAAAGTGTGTACAGGTGTATACAAGCTCTTTAGCAACAGACAAAAAAGGATATAGTCGCCCTGCTGGTGGGGAGTGGAATTGCTTTTCATGGTGGTATCCTGCTTACTCAGAATACCCAGTGATTTTTGCTCAACTATTTTATGCTAAATAAAAAAAAAAAAAACTAATAAATAGATCTACCCATTTCAGCTACTTGTTCAAAACACCTCATTAAATACAAGCATTTTTTTTCTAAAGAGGCCTGCTACATATCCAATGGGTAAAAGATAAATGGCCATAATCTTTGAATACACAAGGCTACACAGAGCGGGTATTTCATAGCTGCACAAAGCCCATAATTGAACTTCTGCCCTAAGGGTAAGCTTTCCTGTAGTGTAAGTGCTTCCAGATGCCATTCAAGGGTCATATTCCTTGTCAGGAAAGCAGAACTTTAAACTCCAGTTAATTGTTATCTCCAGCTGTCTTTTTTTTCATTGAGACTAGTTTCATTTTTCTTTCATTGAGACTAGTTTTCCAACAGTCATTCAAGCAAATGTGCTCATTTCCCAGTTCCCCCGCAATTCCCCACCACAGTATAACAAAGTGCAAATTTTGCATGGCTACATTCCAAACTCTGTGGTGTTAAAATCATAGCAGCAGTGGAAAAGTATGTAGCCTCAATAATCATAACGTAGGACTTGAACTAGAGGTGACTCAGTGGCAGCCAAACACATGCCATATAAGAGAATGGTTTCTACGTAGAGAACATTCACTTGAAGGAAAATCATGGGGTTAGTACTGACACATGAAGGCCTTCACAGCTTGCTAGGCAGAAAAAATTACTCAGTCCACATTAAACTGATGACCTCACTTCAGGTCACTATGTCCGGGTGCCCTCCTCAGTACACATCAAACACAAATAGTGAATCCCTCCTCCCCTGCTTCCTTTGGGCCTCATCTTTGGTGTCAATCACAGGAGAAAAAGGCAAAGACTGAGTCTATCACAGTATCCAGATCTCTTCAGCTCAGTAGTGGTTCATTCACTGATTTGGGACATCTCAAAAGCGGCTGATGGAGGAAAGCTTAGACCACAGGCTGCTGGAGAATAAACTGAAAATGTAAGGAAAGGATATAACGTAAGGGCAACCCAGTCTCTGTCACCATCTTCAAACTATTAGCTAGGAACTCCTGTGTGTGCATTTGTAATGCCACCCCTTTGTTACCAACCACTGGCCACTAGCCACTTGGGTTACAAGAGCTATTGACTGAAGGACAGCTTTGGAGAAGTTCACAGTTGAGGCTGCCAAGCAAATAACCATTAACCACTGATGACCGAAGTTCAAGAAAGGAATTTACACCAACTTGCTCAATTTTCCCAATAGTGGCTCTAGAAGAGGCAGCTTCAAGCTGTTCTACTTGTGCTTTTCAGACAGTCCTTCAATACCATTAGATATAGTCCTACCTAAATAGTCCTTACTGCTCCCTCTTCCCTCAGGAATTACCTCAGCTTTTAAGCCAATGAAAGATCACTTAATCTTTGCAATAAGAAGAGATTAGGCATTTTCAGCTACCCGCTCCAAATTTCTTTGGTGTCTATTATCAGGATTCCCTCAACACAAAAACCCACACTACTCTGTGGGCTTCCTGGTGAAAGCTGTCATGGGCTGGTGACAAAAAGCAGATGTATGCCATAAATCTTGAAGGTATGGAGCTGGATATTTATAGCCTAGTCAGCACCTGAGCCTCATAAAGTTGTATTTTTCCCCAGTAAAGTTCACTAAACTTTCCGAAGATCTGAAAACTTTTTTTTTTTTAATCTTTGGCTCATAAAAGAAATCAGGAGGGGAAATACATCACTATCAAAATGTTCCTTATTTGAACACAACTCTCCTGAGCCTGTCCAGGTTGTACCAAGCTCTCTACTCTTTAGGGGCTTGTGCCAAGGATTGGATTTGGATCTTTTGCTTTGTTAGCACAGGTAATTCCTATACACACTCCCCCTTACAAGAGGAGGGCAAGGAAAGCCACTTGCTACACTGTGAACTTTCAGGAAATACATCCAAGGAGCATGTTCCCATGCTCCTTCCTGCGCTGAAACCTTGCAGTGTCAACTGCTGTCATTACAACTAATCTTCAGAGACAACAATTAACTATAATCTCATGCATACAAGGGGCTGACTGAGATTGTTAGCCTGGAAACCACTTCCTTACTGTGGTTCTACAGATTTACCCTCTCCCTGGATGATACCCCTGACCCTCTTCTCCACAGCCTGGAGGTGCTTGCTCACTCAGAAATGAAGGACAATTAGCTTCCACAAAGAGAGAGGTGATCACATCTCCTTCCCTAACTGGGACACGGTAAATTAAAAAGTCCTTCCCCCACCCACTGCTGCTCATGCAAGATCCTGCAGAAAATCCATCACAGTTTTACCTGTGTGTAATCTGGCACAATGTGCTGAACATTTCAAAGAAAAAAGCCAGGACCAGCATTATCTCTGACTACCAGAACATGAAATTCTTGGATGAGAAGGTTGGGGGAGGGGGAATCACCCTTGCTGGAGATTTGCACTTTGCTCCTCTTCTTACAATGTCCATATCCAAGCGCAGGCTCCCACCCGGCCTCACTGCCCCCCATGATCAGAACTGTTTCATACTCACCATATCATAAACATTCAGAATCACCGGTTCGTTTGCCATTGTTGATTGCAGTGGAGGCTGGATTTAAACCTTTCAGTCCTTGCCAGATGTGTGCCACTGCCCCCAGGGTACGCTTTTACCCACAGCCAGATAGAAGGAAATGCTTCATCCTACAGTCTCAGAAGGAAGGAGCATGGAGGGAGGAGGAAAGGGGGATTCTCGCGGGAGGGGGGAGGAGGTGAAGTTTGTTGCAGGAGGCAGAAAGGTTTGAGCTGGGTTTGCCGTTTGTTTGGGGCGGGGGAGGGGGGGAAGAGTCACCCCTCCACAGCGCAACAGATCTGATGTTTCTTTCTAACTCTTTAGTGCACCTCTGTAACCAGGCACCGTCCAGGCTTGTAAATCTCCATCCTCAGAAGACGAACAGACTCCGTGCTCGGAGATGAGCCCTCTCCTGGCTCCCTAGGAGAAGCGGGTGTGTGTGGAGGGGGGAATCTCTCGGCGTCCTTCTCGGGAGAGCAGCGTGCTGTTACAGCGGAGGCTGCCAGCCGACGGACGCAGTAAACCGAGCCACCGA